GCGCGCTTTATCCATCCCGTAACAATCGTTTGCGTCTACGAAATAACTCATTCTGTGTTGCATCTGCTAACCAACGGCCGTTTATTTAACCAAGGACATTTTAAAGAGCTAGTTTTAGTGGCAAAACAGGGCATTATTGGCTGGGCGCAGAGCAACACGCAGACGATCCTCGAGGTTGCCGAGTCCTTGTGGCACATTATTCGAACCAATCTGTCAATGATCATGGGCGTGACCGGAGAAATTCTATCGCTAGTACTATCTGGTGGACAGGCGTGCATTGAATTTATATTGGACATGGTAAGTGTAAAAAAAGGTTGCTTTACAAATGTAATTTAAATTGATATTCGTTATATTAGATAGCTTAGAAGCAAAAAGTTACGTCTCCTAACGGTTCTCTTTTTTCTCAAAGCATTCAAGATATGGAACAGATCCAAAATTATATATTGGGATGTTTCTTACAGTATGGTATCTTCAATACAAGTTATAAATGTTATTTCAAACATATTCTAAAAGCATATTGACGATTTAGAGTAGCATTGAAATGATTTGACATATTAATTCAAATTAACTTAGTGAAAAAATTAAAAAGCTTTGTAACTATTACTAAAAATTGAATTATCAATTTAAAGTAGCAAAATTGTAATCTCAGAAAGTAATTTCAATATTTCTCTATTTAGATTGTATTCTTCACGGCCCTGTTCTATCTGCTTTCAAGCAGTCAGGAGAAGTACGCGCCGCTGCAGATCACCAAGTACCTGGGTTACTCCAGTTCGGGGATCAAAATTGCCGATGCCCTGGAGAATTCAATTACCGTGGTCCTAATTTCCATGTTCCGGTGCTCGACATTTACGGGCTTGTTCACCTGGTTGGTGCACACGATTTTTGGGGCCCGGATAGTATTCCTACCGTCCGCTTTGGCGGCCATGCTGGCGGCGGCTCCTTTTCTAGGCAGTTACTGGTGTGCGGTGCCAGCCTTTTTAGAGCTCTGGCTGGCCCAGGACCGGTTTTATGCAGGACTTATACTGTTCCTGCTTCAATTCTTTGTGCCCTCATCTTTTGAAACGGCCATATATGCGGACCTAAAAGGGTGAGTCTATTTTTATAACCGCACAGATTTAAGGTTTTTAATTTTATATTCGACTTACTAGTGGTGGACATCCGTACCTGAATGGTCTGGCCATAGCCGGAGGCATGTATTGGATCGGCTGGCAAGGAGCTATCTTCGGACCCTTGATGCTTTGCTTCTTCATCGGTCTCTTCGAGGTGGCCACTCTGGCCATGCGCAGCCATCAAGATCCCAGGTAACTTAGACTTAAGCAGCGATTTCGATGAATTTGTTTGATTTGCATGCAAAGTATGAACTTTATTAGACTTGTGCTGCCCAAGGATTGAAGTGAGTGATATTGCTGGCTTGCTTTGAATAGATTTCTTCTCTTCGTATGTATATCATCAATTAATGAAGGTACCTTAATATATTCCAGGAACAGCACTGATGAGGAGACACGCACCACGTGAGTTGGCATGGGACAAAAACTACGAATTTCATTTTAATACTCGAACTGCAAACTAACATAAGCTGTGTGGCCAAATACCTGACAATCAAAATGAGATTGGCCCGAATATCATACCCTAGAGTTAGGCTGCAATTTTCCTTTGACTATTGTTGATAGTTTCTCAGTTGCTAACCCCTTTGCTTTGCAATTTGGTTCTATCTTGTACTAAAATTTGTAAGTATTCAAGATTCCGTCTGAACAGCAAACGCCCCTTATGTCTCTCGTATCAATCTTAATGATTTTACATACAATATGTACCTCGAATTGTTTGTAGTCGCGAAACATTTCCAAAGCCTTTAAGTACCGATATTGTGCTCGCTACTAATTGCTTAATGTAAACTTGTGATTTGTTTAATCTTAGATACAAAATGTGTTGCAAATATATTTCTATACTAACTGTAACCCACGCTGAATGCAAGATTTTCTTAATTTGAAAGTTATTTTCCAGCTCAATCGCCTGTAGGGCCAACGAAACCGCTAACGACAGCACAACGAAAACGAAAGACGTTACAGATGGAAAGTCTGTGGCAGGGGGAAAACCTGTTGAGCTAAAAATTGTAACCAAAACCAAAACATTTCACCTGTTGAACGCCAAGGAAAAGCAGTAAAGAGCTTTAATTTCGATAATTTATGAAGTATAGTTAACATTAAATACAGAGTATTGAAATATATACGTGGATAATATGACAGCAACCTGGCTTCAAAAATTCGTAATAGGGAAAGCTTTACGATAAGTGCAATATAATCGTAAAATATTTTCCGTATTTTATAAAAATATATCCTTATTTTTTACGCTTTTTAAAAGTGTTATGCTGATTAGTTGGTGTACTGATTCTTGAAGGTGAACTCCGGATGTTTTTCCACACTGCAAGAAAAATGTGGTATGGCTTAAAATGTAACCAATATAGCAATGTTACGTATTCATACCCATGGAAGAAGGCGAAGTCACAGATGCGAATGTTCTTATCCAAGCTGGACAACTTGGCCACCTCCTCCGCCGTCAGTTCAAAGTCAAAGACATCCAGATTCTGCTTAAGGCGATCCGGATTCGTGCTCTTGGGAATGGCGGCCACACCAGTATCGATGATCCAGCGGAGCAGCACTTGGGCTGGCGACTTGCCATGGGCGGCGGCGATCTCCTTGACCTCCGGGATGTCCATCAGATCTGGCAGATCCCTCACGATGCCGGCACCTGCGTTAAACTTGGCGATTCCCTTGGATCCCAGAGGGGAGTAGGCGGTAACGGTCACTTTCTCGGACTGGCAAAAATCGACCAGATCACGCTGTTGCAGATAAACATGGTGTTCGATCTGGTTTGTGGCCGGGCGGATCTTGCAGTTCTTTAGCAGGCGAGCAACCTGATCCTTGCTGAAGTTCGAAACGCCGATGGATTTTGTCAGACCCTTCTCCACCAGAGACTCCATAGCCACCCAGATGGCGGCGTGATTGGTAGTCACGTCGACCTCCATCAGGCCATCCTCGCCAACCTTAAAATCAAGGTGAAGATATAAATGTTATATATGTATGTATGTTCAAAAAATGCCAAACTACCTTAAAGCTGCCATCCTCGTTGATAAGGATGGTAAAGGGTGTGTGCACCAAATACAAGTCTACGTATTCCAGCTGCAGATCTTCCAGCGACTTTTTAATGGTCGGCTCCACCTCGTGAGGGCGGTTGGCTAGAAGGAGGAGTAATTCAATTATGGAGAATGCAAATTATTTATTTTTTTTAGATGGATATATGTAACTTAAATAATTTTTAAGATTACATTCATCCATCATATCAAATCGCTAATAATAAAACTATTTTAAAATTCAAAATTGGAATGCTTAAAAATTTTTTTTTTTTTGTTTTCTGTAAAAACAAGCAATGTCATTATCTTATCTTGTTCACCGGATTTTTTCCAGAACATCAAGATTGTTATGGTGAAATGTTATTTGATTCGGAGGGCTATTATTATTTTTTCGAGGACAAGTTTTTAGGAGTTATAGATATTTGAGATCTTCCATCAAAAATGTAAACTGAATAACATACATAAGTACAATTTACTCACAAACAGGTGGCACCTTGGTCACAATGAACAGCTCCTCCCGCTTGACCTTTCCGGCGTCCAGCCAACGTTTGAGGACCCTTCCAATGGCTTTTTCATTTCCGTAGACTGGCGCCGTGTCTATGTGACGATAACCAGCTTCCAAGGCCGCATCAATGGCGGTTTCAATTTCTTCATCGGATGCCTATAGTGAGGTGATGTTTATGTGGTTTAGTGGCTTTGATTATATATAAAGACGTTGATTGTATCTACACTACTAATAGACCCTGGCCTTTTTTGATCCCAGACCAGAGAAAGTCAAGCCCATTAGCCCAGCTGCATATGAATAAAGGTTTATTGTTTGTTTTTAAAAACCGGTCCAAGCTCGGCAGAACAAACAGATTCGGTTGATTGCATCGGAAACTCCAAGAGATTTAAATGACGTGTCAGATATTTTTTCAGGTCGATCATTAGTTGAAAAAATATTGACAAGAATCCATTTACCACTTACTTATAATTTATAGAATTTACAAAAAAATCGTGATTGTAATTACCTGCCAGGTGCCGATGCCAATTACGGGCATCTTCTCTCCATTGTTGAACATTAGGAACTTGGTGTTGACCATTTTACTTTGATTCTTGAGTACTTGTATTACTGAGATTAACTGCAGAAACTGCTGGACAACCTGTTGCTTCAATGATTGGATTGGAATAAAACAAGAATTTACGTCCCCATTCACCGGCTATGGTTGTGGAGGTATACAAAAAAATATCGTATCGACATATCACTTTTTAAAAAAATATCATATGGAATAAATATTTATCGGAAGTATCGATATATGCAGCATTTGTAATATATTTTTAGTTAAATTAATTGTTCGGTTATATTTAAAAGGGAAAAAAAGCAAAAGTTTAATTAATTATTAAAGTTTAATAATTAAATTGAAAACTATTGAACACATAGGTGAGTTAAAGACTTAAATTACTAACAATAGAACTTGGGTTCTGAAAAGTATAGTTTTATATGATATAAAACATACGTGTTCAATACATTGTATACACGAAATATTTACTTGTATTCGAAAATAGTGATATATTGATCTCTTGATATATTTTTCACATCCCTAATGCCGGCCCAGTATGCCGGCATAAGTATTTTGATGAAACAAAGGTTAAATTAAATTCTGTTTAAAAAACACAGGAATTTTCTTAACCTAATCAGTACTTACTGAAAATGGGAAATTTTTGAGAAAATTTACTTTTTATCTTTTTTACACGTCTTGACAACTAATATTTTTTGATGCTAAATGCTTTAAAAATGTTTAGAAATTTGCATTCCAGCCACATTTTTCTCTTTTTCATACTTTTTTCTGACACTGCCACATTTAAAAAATCATAAAAAATATAAGAAAAACAATTTTTGAAAAAATTCTTTCTTAGTTAGTTTAGTTTTGTTTGGATGCCAAAATGTACATGAATCAAATTCAAATTATGAGTATATTTAGCTTTAGCTTCGTCAAAATACTTATGCCGGCCAGTGTTTAAACACCAAACCCAAGATTCTGCCAATGCGCGGTCCATATTTGTTTTAACAAAATAATCAAATTATTAGTTTGAATTTGTAGATATTGATTTTACTTTTGAGAAAGTGCTACTTTATAATTATTTACATTAGTTATGACTATGTACTGGAATCCTTGAACAGTATCAATTTTTTTTGTCTAAAAACCCTCTTTGGATAAGTTGCCAAACTATGATTATTCGAAAAAAAATTGAAACTTACGAAATATCAAAAATCGGGTGTAAAAAATTACTTAATATATATTCCGACGTCTAGTTTAAATATAAAAAGAAAGTAACTATGTTTTTATAATTTATTTAAGACTACTTTGTATTATTATTTATTTATTTATTTATTCTCAGGCTAAAAGGCAATGGAGAAATTACCTATAACATATGCTTTTTTTATTGCAGCTATAGCTTTGTATTATTTTTAAATATAGAGTTTTTAAGACTAAGATCATGTATAATATTGACTTCGAAGCCCTAAGAAAACATTGTTCAATTAAACAATAAGATTTTTAAGATCACTTGAAGTGAAAATCTTGTATTACAACTTATAACTGTAGGACAATTTTTAATTCATATCCAAAATCTAAGCAAACGTAAATAAATCAAATAATACAATTTCTTCAGTTTTAAATTGGTCTAAAGCTGGAACACAAATTAATCCACCACAATCGAGAAGTTGCTGTAGGTAAACTCGGAAAGCTCAGAGGTGTCGCCAAAGATGCACTTGTCGATTCGGCTAGTGGGGCTGCCGGTGTGCTTTAGCCAGAGGCGCCTGTGGACAATCCGTTAAGTACCATTACTGGCTACTGAAAAGTGACTTACATGGACTCAAAGGCATGTCGATGCGCTTGAATTTCACCCTTCACCGTGTTTTCAGTGGTGTTCTTGCACCAGCCCCGAACGCCCAACTTTTGCGCTCTTCGTAAGGTGTACTATAAGTTTGGAATGATATGATTAGGTCCTGGGCTATGGAATTCAGCCTAAATTATTGAAGCAGAGCCAGCTCTTACCATTCGGAAGGAAACGCCTGTGGGGTAAATGACTATTAATTACTTTTATTTTTGGGGGTGGGCTTACCTACCTTGCACTATCCCAAAAACTTCAAACTGGCAACTGAACACCGGTTCATTGCTCCTATCCGTGGTGACCCTCTTTTGGAACTCGCTATGAGAAAGTCTTTTGGGATCCTCATTAGGAACGCTTTTGGATTCATCGTTGGATTCTTCACTTTTTTCAGGGGTCGCAGAGGGAATCGTTACCCTATGCTTTCCCTCAGTCTGGGTCTCGTTGGAGGTCATTTTACAACTCGAATATTTAAGATATTTGCAGCGGTCAACTGTCAAAAAGCGATAGCTCGATATAAATCAATAAATTTGTAGTTTTTCTGGGTCACCCTATATTTTTATTTTTTATTTGGAAACTACAATTCAAACATAAGTGAAAAATGTTGTAGTGATTGTAACTTGTACATATATTGATGTTATTTAAAAAATTAAAACTTGTTTAATGGCTATTAAGGTTGTAAAAACTGTAAGTAAAGGTCGTTAGGAAATGTATTTATAGATCTAGCTTTTTTTCAACAGTCTTCTAAAAATGCTATCGGTAAGCGATAGGACCACTTTTGGTAATCGGAGCATGTAAGGGTCACCCTGTGGCCAAGGCGGTTCGTTGGAACCAGTTCCAACCTGGCTTTGAACAAAACAAAATCACCCACAAAATAGTGCAGTACAAATATTACGCAGAAACTACTTGCTCGCACTATGCATACCCTGTACGCGCTGCTCAAGAACAAGCTGAGCGATGTGCATCCGCTGCACAATATAGACCTGGAGCGTGATGTGGCCTATTTGAAGGCGGTGGTGACCAAGGAGATGGAGCTGCAATTCGACGCCAGCGAACTGGGTGAGTGACCCTCGACACCACTGCCGCCCATTGTCCCCTTTGTGCAAAGTCATCTGCTACGCACTTGCAGAGATCATCCACCACGGTCGCGTACTGGAAGATGCGGACACACTCAGCCGGTCGCTGCAGCCCAACGCCGTCATACACTGCTTCCGAAAGGTGAAGCGCTACTCGCCGTATGTGCCGCCAGCGGCCACAGAGATCAACACGAAGCACATCCAGGAGCTGTTCTCGCTGACCTCGCACCTGCAGATCAGCGTGACCTCGCGGTTCAACATCCTGCAGAAGATTCTCGCGGAGTATCCGGAATTCAGGCGCAATCTGGGCGCCCAGGCCCTGATCCGCGACTCCGTGCTATTTAACGTGTTGCACGAGCCGGAGGTGGTCCAGAATCTAGTCAAGGATTACCCCCTCATTTGTGAGGCTGCTCCATTTATTGTGGACACCATTCGCAAGGAGCTGGCTAGGAATAGCTCTGCCACTCAGTGTAAGTATAGCAAGCTGTTACTCCTGCGCAGTTGTTAAAACTTTTCTATTTGCTCTTCTAGTTCAAGAACAGGCTGCCTCAGAGTCCACAACTTCGTCAGAGGAGGAGAACTCCCTGGGAGCAGGCAGCAGCAGCAGTGGCGGAAGCAGCAGCACCGCCGTAGCAGCTGCTGCGGCTGCCAATCGGCGCGATGAGATGGCCAACATCCGTCAGATCAGCCGCCAGCAGCTAGCCAACGCCTTGGCCAATGTGACCTCGTTCAACTCACTTTCGAATATTGCGCAGCGAAATGCAGATGAGGCACTGCAGGGTGACGAGAGGCCAAGGACCACTTCGGCGCCTTTGGCTGGAATCGGAGGATCAGTGGGAACAGGGGCAGCCAGCAGCAGTGGAGCCAGTAGCAGCGGTTCCATCTCCTCGGAGCTGTTCCGCAATGAGCTGGCCCGCGCTTTTCAATCCCTGGCGCAGCAGCAACCACCGCCAGTGGAGAACATGGAGGTGGAATCCGGCGGAGCACCAGTCGCAGACGCAGTCGTCCCAGCACCTGCCGACGATGTGGATGACGAGGACGATGGTGGTGATGACAGCGACGTGCTACCACGCTGCTATCGCCGACATCGGTTCACCGAGCAACTGCGCACCATGGCCGCCATGGGCTTCATCAATCACACCCAAAACGTCAGCTACTTGGAAATTTCCGATGGAAATGTGGAACACGCCATTAACCTACTGATGTTGGGCATGAACTGAGAGGGATCGGGATTGACTAACTTTACTGACTTATATTTATTCTGCTGCTGAGGATTCTGAAGCATTCAACTCCCAACTTAAGCAAGGAATATCTCACGAGAACTTGTAATAATTAAAAATACATTTAGAGGAGTCAACTTGTTAAGCTGCTTGGGCGTAGGATACGGGGTGAGGGCACGGGTAAAAGCTGGCCGTATCAAAAGGTTTTCTCCTAAATTGATCTAGTTGATTAGATAGTCTAGCGCCTTGTCCTTGTTATTGTTGAACTTGAGAAGCGCCGCTGAGATTTTCGATTCGTCAAAACCTAGGTCCATGAGCTCGCCGAGTGGGATAAGGTGCTCGATAATCTGGGGATAGAGGAGATTTCCAGTGACTGTTCTTTTCAAACGTCCCTCAAAAGAACAGACCTTTTTATCATCGATGCCGCACAGGCTAACCACCTTTGCTACCCGTTCCAGTGGAAAGCCCATAGTACTGATTCGTTGCGCCAACTTCTGTGCCGGTCCAGCCAGCTCCCTGAAGGAGTTCCTGTCTACGGCCAACGCCATCTTCGTCTGCTGCTCTTCGTTGTGGCTGTGCAGGCGGGTGCGACGCTTCTCCGCCTGCTGCAGCTCTGTCTTCAGCTCCCGTAGGATGTCCGGCACACTCCTTGACTTGGTGGCCACCTCGTCCTCCGACTGGCTAAGGGCCAGCACGGAGGAAGGCGTTGGAGGCACCATCAAATGGCTGGGCGTGCCAAATCCATTGACATTGTAGTTGTTTTGCTGTTGAAACGGATGCTGCTGCGGAGAGTAGTAGGGTTGGTGGCTATAACCCTGCATGTGGTACACCTGCAACAATAGTAACTTCTTAGGTAAAACTCTATTTAGATTTTAAAAAGCCGAACTAAAGAAATTGCATCCTACTCCCATGAAAACTAAAACCTTAGTATAAAAGAAAGAAATACTTTGCTACTACTTGGCTTAAAAAATCAACGCAATTTTAGTAATTTTAAAAAATGTGTTATTAATAAACAGTTCAAAGACTTAGGTCCACACTAAAAAAGAAGCAAACTGAAACTGTGGATGAGTTAATGATTTGCTCTTTTATTAAAATATGAGAAATGATATTACTATATAAAGGCTTCACTTGTTGGTGTACAAACGAAGTAACAAATACAATCGCCAATAAATTTCCCAGAAGCCACTCAACAGATTAAGGCCATTTGTTCTAAGTAACTACTTAATAGTGTCCCACCTGGAAGTGCTCCGGTTTATGCAGCTGCTGCTGGGCGGAAGCGCTGTACATGGGCGTGGGGAATAGAGACGTGGGTGGAATGTGGCTGGGCTCCCTCCTGCCCTCATCATCATCACAGTGAACATGGAAATTGACGCTGTCGAGCGTCGCTTTGGTCTCCGCCAGCGTAGTCATCGTTAGTTCCACAGGAGCTGGCACTTCCTGATGGGGCTGCTCCTCCTTGGGGCAAACTTCCTGCTGCGTCTGATCTCCTTGCTGTTGCTGTTGATCCCTGCGCTCTTCCAGCTGGGTTTGGTGCAGCACCTGAGCGAGTATGTCCAGATCATTGATGGTCTTCAGCTCGATGTTGTCGAAGGGTGTGGAGTTCATATTGTACTCAAAATCCGCATAGTTCAGGGAGCTGTTTCGCTTGTGCAGCGTCTGCGGGATAGCCACTGGAGTGGCGCTCAGTATGGTGGGCTGCAAGATGGTGTGGAAATTGCACACGCCTATTGACTTTGGTTCGTGCGAGGAGTCGCGTGACTCAGAGGCGGTAGGAGGGGGCTGCTCCTCCCCCTTCCGTTCAGGGCTCTTCTTCTCTTGCTCTTCCTCCCCCTCGTCTGATGACAAGTCGTCCGTACTGGGGTAGTCGACTGCTCCAAGCATCTCCTTCTGCCTGGCCTCCAGTGCCCGTTGGCGTTCCTCCTTGCGGCGCTCCTGGCGATTGGCGAGCTCCTCCCGCTGCTGGCTACGCATCTGGCGCCAGCGTTGGGCCTGACTCACCACCGCCCGCTCCAGCTGGAAGTCGTACTGGTAATCTGGATGATCCGCGTAGTAGTCCTCACGGAACTGCGACAGACGGTTCAGGGTCGCCTGCGGCAGATGAAAGACGGCAGGCGGGGGTTTGTAGCGCTCAACTATCTTGACCGGGACATCGTCCATGTTATGCTAGCGCATTCACCGCGAATTTTGTTAATTAAGTTGCTACTACGCGTTTTTTCTCTCTGTTCTCTTTTGTTGTTTTCCCGAGCAGCAGCGATAGGCGATAGGTAGTGTCATCGGTCACTGCTGATTTGCTAATTTCTGCTGGTTGTCGGTTTTTCGTTAGGGGTGCTCTTTTTACTAACGGTATGCTGGTTTAGGGCAGGGGCGTTGCAATGGGGGAAACGAAAATATTTAAATATTTGATATAACAATATTTATAGATATACATACCTTTAAAGATATGTTTGTATTCACTTTGCTAACAGTGGGAACTTCACAAAAAAAATTTACAATTTCGATGAAAAAGGTGGAAGACACGGAAATATTCCATTTGCTTTCATCAAGGGCGAAAAATGTTGTAGAAAGACTTTTCCCGTATAAATTCTTCATATAAAATGTATATGGAAATCTCTGGAATATAAATCGAATATTAGCAAAACTGTGACCGCCATATTTGAAAAATTGAAATTGACAAGGGCAACCTTGGATAGCATTTTAAAGCGAAGACCGATGCGACTTCCCGGCTCATGCCTGAAAGGCAGGTATGAAGCGACAGGAATCGAAGGGTTTGAGTTCGGGATACAAATCAACATCATGGTGAATTTTGTGAACATGTATTTCTTCTCAATGGTTTTGTATTGGGAACTTTATGGCTCTAATTGCACTGACGGAAAATTTGCGATGGTACCCATAGCCACCACCACCAAATATGTAATTTTGGCTAGGGCTTCGTAAGAGATCTCTCTCTTCAATTACAGTTTCAATTTCATCATTGACTTGGTCTTGTATGTCCTGAGTCATAAAAAGAAAATGCATGTGAGACAAACTGTAGTAAATACTTACTTATTTATAGGAGTCAGGCTGTATATAACGCATATGATACAATACATAAATGAATGATACCTAAAAAATGATATTAAAGATACTCCATACTTTCCTTTAGCAGAAATATAGATGCAATCATTTTTTGTTTCAGATTCTAATTACAATACGATTTATTTAATTTTTAGTAAAAATTTAATTTCCGAATTTCAGTGTCCCAACCTACAGTTGTTACTTCAACATCTACAGCTACTGGGCTAGAAAG